AATTCTGATTACCTTGCATTTCACTGTGGTAGTTAGTCACAATTAACGGAATATCACAACCGAAATGCAAGGTAACAGGCATGCAATGGACCGTAACTGTCGTCTTGTCGCGGGAATCGCGAGGCGATGAAATGGCAAGGCGAACTTTGCCCGAGGACTCATGGACTGCACACCTCTTGATGTTTCGTGAAGAAAGAAACTTGAGAAAAGAGGACCTTTACCTTTACGCTGGGTATCTTCTTCAATTCCTGAGCACTAGGAACCTTCTTTAGCTCCTGAGCAATCGTTGAGGAAGCGATTTTCGTTGGGACTGCCACCTGTATTCTGACACATATGAACGATTTGGAGTGAGACCTGAACAAACTTACAGATGCGTCTACCATTACTGGCTTTTTCACGGGTCGCGCGGCTTTGGGAGCCGTCATGGTTCTGACTGGAGGAGGAATGAGCTGTGATCGGCCATTCAATTCCGCATCCATGTCTGCTGCTCGGCTACTATCACAACGCATCACATGACGCATAAAACCATCAGCTTTGCGGAAAAGTGTTGCGCAGGTTCTGAATCGTAATCAGTTCGAAAAGAAACCCTTGAGTGGACTAACCGACCATGAGCTACAAAACGAAAGAAGTCAAGCTGCATGGCCTTGTATGAAAACAATGATACTCAAGCCACACATCTCAATCTCCAGACACGATCGCATCCAGAATTTGATTGAACTTGCTGACAGACTTAATTATGCAGTAAAAAAAGACTACAGAAGGAGACTCGACTGTACTCCATAGTTTTGTTCTGCCATGCAAGTTCTTATCGGTGACTATTGAAAAGTGTTATTGATAACAACCTGTACGTAAAAACAAAACTATCAAATTCAGTTACATTATGAATGCCTTAGTCTCAATATAAAGGACACATGAGATGATCGCGTTCGGTTTATCATCAAACAAGGGCCAAACGCAAGGCTGTTTCGATCGAAAATTCAATGAAACAAGCCTTCGGCTGTTAAAGAATGGTTCAAATCAATCACTTCCCTCAT